TGATCATTTCCGTCTGATACACATCTGATGATGGCTATATCATCTGAGAACTTTTGTAGGTGGCAATGGTCTGAATTATAACAGAAGTCAGAAGTATACAGGCTGAACAAGAAGGGTGAGAGAACCGTGCCCTGTGGCGCCCTGCGTGCTGCAGATTACCACGTCGGACAACAGTCATGAAGCCTCACATTCTGTGGTATGTTGGTTAAGTAGTCAGTGGTCCATGTCAGCTGTTTGCCCACTCTGGTTCCCTCCAGCTTCCCTAGTGTATGCTGGTTGGTGTTGAAAGCACTGGAGAAGTCAAAAAACATGATCCTCACAGCGTTCCCCGCCTGCTCTAGGTAAGAGAGGGATTGCTGCAACAGGTACATGACAGCGTCATCCACCCCAATTCCAGACCAGTAGGCAAACTGCAAATCTAAAATTATTAAAAAATAAAACCTGAGTTGAACAGTAACGTGAGAAATGTTACAACATGTCATAATTTATTTAATAAAGCCTAAAATGCAGAAGCAGTGTGTAAAACAAAACAAAACAAAACAAAAAACACTAATTCAGTGACTTGTAGGACCACCTTTAGCAGCAATAACTTTAAGTAATCATTTTCTGACTTTATCAGTCTCGCACATGGCTATGGAGGAATTTTTTTTTTCTTTTCCTGTACTGCACCAATCAGACAGAGCACTGGACACCCTCACATACTGCTTCTTGTCTGTCATGTGCTCAGTAATATAGCTTCTCTCTCAGCAGCAGCCGCTGAGGAATCTCCCAAACAATGTGAATCCGATAACTTGAGAACTAGATGACATAGCAGCTGCAAATTGATACCATAGATCTACTAAAGATCTACTAAAGGTCAGAGGTCAAGTTTTATGAAAATCTTGTAAGTGTGATCACTTCAGGTGATACAGTATTTTGAAATTGATACCATAGGTATATCTACTTGGAGGCTGTGGGTAGCACTGACAGCAGCCAATATTTTTACTTTCTCCAGATGTGTACTCTGGATTGTTCTAGTACTGAATGTCTCTCTAGTAAAACTAATGTGAGGCACAGCTAACCGTCTTTAGGCATTAGTCCGGTTGAACTGCATCTAATATATGCATGGGAAATGGAGGAAACCTGTGGTTAAATGGTAAACAGTAACTCTCAACAGCAACTTAATTTAACAGTAGGTTTTGTTATCCGCCAGAGGGCGCAAGACGGACATTATCGGTGTTAAACACAGTGGAGAAGAAGGTCAGATATCTTTTTTGAATAAATGTATAAGGAAAAACTGTCAATAAGATAAAATACAAGAAAAGCTCTCAAACTTATGAGAGCAAAGTCAGAAATTTTATTCAAAAAGTTGCAAAGCTAATTTAAAACTTAAAAAAAATCAGATAAGATAAGACTTTATTGATCCCACGGTGGGGAAATTTGCATTACCACAGCTCAGGTACCAATAGCAGACGAATGCAAAGAGTATACCAAGAATATAAAGTTAAGAAATACAAATACACATACATCCATACACACTAAATATACAGTCAGGTCCATAAATATTGGGACATCGACACAATTCTAAATTTTTGGCTCTATACACCACCACTGATTCCAAATGAACAACAGATGTGCTTTAACTGCAGACTGTCAGCCTTTTATTTGAGGGTATTTACATCCAAATCAGGTGAACAGTGTAGGAATTACAACAGTTTGCATATGTGCCTCCCACTTGTTAAGGGACCAAAAGTAATGGGACAGAATAAGAACCATAAATCAAACTTTCACTTTTTAATACTTGGTTGCAAATCCTTTGCAGTCAATCACAGCCTGAAGTCTGGAACACATAGACATCACCAGACGCTGGGTTTCATCCCTGGTGATGCTCTGCCAGGCCTCTACTCCTCCAGTTCCTGCTTGTTCTTGGGGCATTTTCCCTTCAGTTTTGTCTTCAGCAAGTGAAATGCATGCTCAATCGGATTCAGGTCAGGTGATTGACTTGGCCATTGCAAAACAGTCCACTTCTTTCCCTTCAAAAACTCTTTGGTTGCTTTTGCAGTATGCTTTGGGTCGTTGTCCATCTGCACTGTGAAGCGCGTCCAATGAGTTCTTGAAGCATTTGGCTGAATATGAGCAGATAATATTGCCCGAAACACTTCAGAATTCATCGTGCTGCTTTTGTCACACAATATAAACGAAACTCCACTGACCATACATGCCCAGCCATGACCACCTGTATGAGAGTGATGCTTACATGACATTCCTTCCCATCTCTCTCACACCGTCAGTTATCTTGTGTCTCATCTGTCCATAGAGATGTTGTTCCAGAACTGTGACGCTTTTTTAGATGTCGTTTGGCAAACTCTAATCTGGCCTTCCTGTTTTTGGGGCTCACCAAAGGTTTACATCTTGTGGTGAACCCTCTGTTTCAACTGCTGGAGTCTTCTCTTGATTGTTGACTTTGACACACATACACCTTCCTCTGGAGAGTGTTCTTGATCTAGGCCAACTGTTGTGAAGGGTGTTTTCTCTCACCAGGGAAGGATTCTTCGGTCATCCACCACAGTTGTTTTCCGATGGTCTTCCGGGTCTTTTGGTGTTGCTGAGCTCACTGGTGCATTCCCTTCTTTTTGAGAATGTTCCAAACAGTTGTTTTGGCTACGCCTGATCTTTTTGCTATCTCTCTGATGCGTTTTGTTTTTTCAGCCTAATGATGGCTTACTTCACTGATAGCTCTTTGGATCTCATCTTGGCAGTTGACAGCAACAGATTCCAAATGCAAATAGCACACTTGAAATGAGCTCTGGACCTTTTATCTGCTCATTGTAATTGGGATAATAAGGGAATAACACACACATGGCCATGGAACAGCTGAGAAGCCAGTTGTCCCATTACTTTTGGTCCCTTAACAAATGGGAGACACATATGCAAACTGTTGTAATTCCCACACCGTTAACCTGATTTGGATGTAAATACCCTCAAATAAAAGCTGACAGTCTGCAGTTAAAGCACATCTTGTTCGTTTCATTTGAAATCCATTGTGGTGGTGTATAGAGCCAAAAATCTTAGAATTGTGTCGATGTCCCAATATTTATGGACTTGACTGTACATTTATACATATACATACACAAATACATGCACATGTTCATACATATATAAGATGCATTATGCATGAGGTGGTAACCGTGGATGACCAGATGTTCCGTAGTGACTGCATCGGATGAGGTATGATCTACTGCTGTGAGAAGATCTGCGAGCTCCTTCCAGAGGTTCAGTCCTGACAAAGAAGCCACTATCTGCGTGGGTGTTTTCAGGGTGTGCTACTCGACCACCCACAGTCAGACTGCACGGCTCTCACCGTTTGTCATGTCCTTCCGCATCCCCCCCAGGCACTCTGAAGGAATGACACATTATGATCTAACAGGTCCTGGACTCGCTCATCCTCGAGGTCGCTTTTTATACAGGCTGTTTTGGTCATCCAGTTTATTGTTGAGTTAACCGGGACTTGGATATACATGTCTTTGGGTTCGGGAGGGATGTTTTCGAAGTGACCATTTCTGCTGGTTATGAGGTTCTCAAGCCAAAGTCAATGATCCTATTTGATCACTCGATAACCTGAATGCATAAGACTTGTAGTGCTCCGAATAAGATCTGAAGTTAAGCTAAAGTAGTAGACTGTTGCCGGGTGCCCCGTGCGCAGATACCACTGGACACACAGGCCATGAGCCTCAATGTGTCTGTGGTAGGTAGTCGTTGGTCCGATGCAATAGCTGTTTGCTACTCGGTCCCTCCGCTTCTTCGTTGCGGTGATGGTGTTGAAAGACTGTGAGAAGCAAAAATGACCACAGTCGCTTTATACATAATCGGTGTACTGCTAGGAAGGAGGTGACAAGGATCGTCATCCACCCCAATTCCAGACCATAGGCAACTGCAACTAAATATTAAATAAATAAAACCTATGACGTACGTGAGAAAGTACAACTGTCATAATTATAAAGCCTAAAATGCAGAAGCAGTGGTGTAAAAAAACAAACAACTAATTAGTGACTTTAGGACCACCTTTACAGTAATTAAGTAATCATTTTCTGACTTATCAGTCGCACGGTTGAGAATTTTTTCTTCTGTACTGCACAATCAGACATACACTTTTTTTTTGACAAACATCACATACTCGCTTTTGTCTGTCATGTGCTCAGTAATATAGCTTCTCTCTCAGCAGCAGCCGCTGAGGAATCTCCCAAACAATGTGAATCCGATAACTTGAGAACTAGATGACATAGCAGCTGCAAATTGATACCATAGATCTACTAAAGATCTACTAAAGGTCAGAGGTCAAGTTTTATGAAAATCTTGTAAGTGTGATCACTTCAGGTGATACAGTATTTTGAAATTGATACCATAGGTATATCTACTTGGAGGCTGTGGGTAGCACTGACAGCAGCCAATATTTTTACTTTCTCCAGATGTGTACTCTGGATTGTTCTAGTACTGAATGTCTCTCTAGTAAAACTAATGTGAGGCACAGCTAACCGTCTTTAGGCATTAGTCCGGTTGAACTGCATCTAATATATGCATGGGAAATGGAGGAAACCTGTGGTTAAATGGTAAACAGTAACTCTCAACAGCAACTTAATTTAACAGTAGGTTTTGTTATCCGCCAGAGGGCGCAAGACGGACATTATCGGTGTTAAACACAGTGGAGAAGAAGGTCAGATATCTCTTAATATAAGAAGTCTCGCTCTATCGACTTCTGGTTTGATAGGGGGCGCTCATGAGATGGTTCTGGTAACGAGTCGATATTATATAATTTCGAATTCATTATTATTGCCTTGTAGAACAAAACTAAAATAACATTTTGGCTGTTTATGTAGAAGCATTTGCAAACGATTGCTTTAGCCGTTTCGTTATAATTACTCCTATTCCCTGAGGTCTTGGTCGTGTGCGCCATCTGCTGGCAACCTTCTAAACTCCAGTTCATTTCTACACAATGTTTTTAACAGGAAGTAGACTCTCTTCCAAGTTATCGTCTCTGGTTGGGTGTCCGGTAGTTCCTCCTGGGTTTGAGTTGTCTGGGAAACCCGCCATGTACGGGCTCTGCTTTTCAAGGAGGTTTGCTGAATAAACAGTGCTGAATATTTGGCTTGTTTAGCTCCTAGCGATAGATGACGAGCTAGCCGACCGAGTACCTCGCGT